TCCCTCAAGGACTGGCCTCTCCTAATAACATGACTGAACATGTGAGATGAAGTCTTATCTTCTCTGCTTCTAACAAGCATTCAGAAAGCTATACATTTAATGCACATAAACTGATACAAAATTTGTATTAATATTAAAAATAATCACAGACACACAAAAAGTAAATAACAGAATCTTCTCCTGAAATAAATCCATCAGCATCTAATATTTAAACATTAGATAGTTAATATTTCCAAGTTTCGAATACAAGGAAATATGAGGCTGTATTTTAGTAAAGACACACAATTTAAAAATCTCTTGACTTAGAAAAATGTTATCAAAATGAGAAATGCAAAAAAGCAGACATGAGATTCACTTCTAATTTACAACTTTTAGAGAATAAAAAACAAAGCATAAAAATGACATGTTTCTTTTGTTTTCCCATCCTACTCAAGGTGGTAATTTTAAAACTTAGGTGGCATAACCTATACTTCAATCCCAAAACAATAAAACCTTTATTTTCATGTCAAATCTCGTATAGCTTAAGTATTAATTTTCCCAAGACACTCATCCTGACATAAAAAGTGGGAGAGAGACTGTCCTAAACATATGGAGAACAGAAAAAAAAATGGTTCCAATAACAGAAGTAATATACTCATAAAGAAGTAAGAAAGAAAACTATCCAAACACCACATCTCAGCCCCAGGCATCTAGCAAGATCATAAACAAAGGTCATTTTGGATCTTATCATAATGTAGTCAGTAAAGAAAAATTAAATTATAAGTAGGATATGAAGGGAAGAATGTGTGGGCCGTGCATTATCTTTAACACCTTTACAAAAGCAGTTGAACTGCATTTAAACCTAAAAAAAAAAAGAAATAAATAATTGACAGACTGTTCAAAGGAGACTCTACTCCAAAGCTGCTCCACAAGGGTGAGGCCAGCTAAGTCTGAGAAGAATGTCTGAGCCAGTGGAAAAAAGCACACTAGTGAAACCTCTGTAGTCTGTATTTTAGAGAAGTTGGGTCTGACTGTTCAGACAATCTGAAAGTTACTGTTACACTACTATTATCTCAAACTAATTGACAAATATTTTTTCACGCTTCCTTAGCTTTTTATTATAGTGATTTTACAGCATAATTGCCCCCTTGTGACTGACTGACATCCCTCAGCATAACTTAATTTGTTCTAGATTAATTCAGGTTTGCAATGTAACACAAATTCAACATCTTTTAATAATGTATCATTCATTGTATGAATATACTGTGTTTCTTCACCCATTCATCCTTTGTTGAGCTGCTGGTTCCCTATTTTTAGCCTTCTATGTTTACTATCCTTTATATATGTCTTTGTCTAAATCAGTTTGTGAATGATGTTGTCATGTGTGTTAATTTTAGTTTGTCGTCTATTGTTGGCTCTTGATAAGAAGAACTTCAGTATTTCTTGATTTTTTAAAGGGTTTGTCTAGTTCTCATTAATTCCCTAAGTTTCTGTTTAATTGAAAATGACCTCATTTCATCATCACATTTGATGGACAGTTTTCCTGGGTAGAGGATTCTTGGCTGGTATTTTTTTTCCCCAACGAATATGCTTATATAAAATAACTCTAAAGAAAAAAAAATACTGCCATGCTGTTGCACTAGGTGTCATAAAGTGGACTATTAATACTCACTGTGACCTATAAACAACAGATTAGAACTTTGCCCCTTCCATCCTGCACTGTCCACACGCTTAAAGCAACTGTTAACAGATTAACCGTGTTAATCCATCTCCTTAATGGTCTTCCTCTTTCATCGACCCTGCTTTTCCAAGGACTGGCACCTCCTAATAGCATGACCAGTGTATGTGAAATGAATGAAGTTTTGCCATTCTTGCCTCTAAGCAGCACCCTGGTTGCATATCCTCCAAGGCACATTTTTTTCCCTTCTGGCAGTCCATGGTATAGACTATACTCTCCAACAATACTGCAATTCAAAGAAATCTCTTCCTCTCTGGTCTTCCTTATTCACTGTCCGACTTTCAGATACACAGAAACAACTAAAACACTTTGGCCTGGATTGGGTACACCGTAAATTTTAAACTGGTAACTTTGCCATTCAGTACATTAAAGTGACTACAGATTTTTCCCAAACATTTTTTTCTTCTTTATGGCTGCTACTAAGGGTATTGAGTGTGGATCCAAATACCACTAAATCCTTAACAAATTCAGTCTTTTCTACTATGTTGCCTGTAGGACCAGTGGTGAGGATTTTAGTTTTCTTGATGTTTAAGACGTAATCTATAACTAAAAATGTGTAGTCTTGAATCTTCTGTGGTAAGTGCTTAGACTCTCACACACTCACTTTCTGCAAACTCTGTGCTCATCTGCTTAGTTGTTAAGGAATCGTCATCCAATTCTGATGTCACATTCTTCTTCTTATAGTCTAGCTTCTCAAATTATTTGTTCAGCATACAGACTAAGTACAGAGAAAGGAAACAACCCTAATGAACAACTTCCCAGATTTTAAACCCTGCAATGTTCCCTTGTTTCGTCCCTACAACTGCTTCTTGGGTTTACATGGAACATTAAGATTCACAGTCAATAAAACACATGTAAACATCTTTCTGTTATTCTTTTTTTTTAAATGTTTTAATTGAAATTTTAATTAAAGTTTATAGAGACTTTGGATTTCCATTCATTTATTGTTGCACATTTCCCTCTATGCCAACCCCTCCCCCCAGTTGGTTTTTCTCTTTGAAAAATAAAAAAAAAAAATAAAACCCCTGCTTTCAATTAAGATTCACTTGCCTCTTCTGAATCCAGCTTGAATATTTGACAACTCACTGTTAATTTTACTGTTCCAGTTGTTCTTTAATAATCTTCAGCATGATTTTATTTTTATATCATATTAATGATACTGTTCTAATTTCCACATTCTGTTTGATCACCATTTTTTGGAACAAGAACAAATATGGATCTCTTCCAGTTGGTTGGCCACGTCACTATCTTCTGAATTTCTTGGCATAGACTAATGTGCACATCCAGGGCTACAGCTTCTTGCTGAAAACACCTCCATTTATATTCCATCAATTCTTAGGGGTCTTATTTTTTTGCCAATGCCTTCAGTGCAGCTTCAACTTCTTCCTTCATTACCACTGGTTCTTGATCATATACTACTTCCTGAGATGATTCAGTGTGGGTCAATTCTTTTTGGTAGTCACTCTGTGTATCCCTTCCATCTTCTTTTGATGAACATCCTATGTCATTCATTTTTACAATCAATACCCATGGTACCAGCAGTCAGTAGATCAGAAGACATATTGCACTGGCAAAGTCTGCAGTTAGGGGCCGAAATTAATGAGGTGTGATGATGTCAGTTTGAGGCCTAGGTGCACCTGATTCATGCCATGGTCTTGCTATGCATATGAGAACTGGACAATGAATAAGGATGACATAAGAACTGATGCTGTAGTGTTGGAGAAGAGTTCCGAATATCCCACGGACTGCCAAAAGAACAAACAGGTTTGTCTAAAAGAAGGTGAATCCAGAGTGTTCCTTGGAGATAAAAACAACAAAGCTATGTCTCACATACTTCGAATGTGTAGCTAGGAGAGGCTATTCTCTGGAGAGGGACATTATGCTTGGAAAAGTGAAAGCTGATGAAAAGAGAAGAGCCTCAACTAGAAGGATCAACACACAATGATTGCAGCAATGGGTTAGGGTGTTCAGATCATGTAAAGATGGCACCAAAATCAGGACAAGGTCCAGATCTGTTGTTCACAGGGGCACTATGACTCAACAGCTTCTACAACCACCACTAATAAATATTCCATCAGTAATAAAAATTCTTCAGTATTACAACTCAAGATTTTAATTTCTTCTTCAGTTCTTTCAGCATGAGAAATTCCAAGTATGCTCTGCTTCCCTTTTGCTTTTCTAACCCTAGTTTCTTGCACACTGTTGAAATACTTCGTCATCTCAAGTTGCCCTTTGGAATTTTCTTACAATGCTCTGTTACAACAGCAATTCTTCCCTTTGTTGTGGCTTCTTAACATTCTAGTACAAGTTTCATTCTGAGTCTCTTCTGACATCCACTTCGGTCTTTTCTTTCTGATTTTGGAGTGACCCTCAGCTTTTTTCATAGGTAATAACCTTGACGTCATCTACAATGTGTCTGTTTGGTCATTAGTTCACGTATCCAATCTATTCTCGAGATGAATTTTTAAATTCAGCTGGGATAAACTCAAGTTCACATATTAGTTCTTGTGGATTTATTTTCCATTTTTTCAGCTTCAAAGTGGTCTGTTCAACAGGATGCCATTCTGACTGCTGATACTGAGTTTCTCCAATGTCTCTTTTCACAAATATGTCAATCTGATTCCTGTGTCATCCATTAGGTGAGGCTCGTGTATAGTCACGACATGTTTTATAAAAAATGGTACTATAAAGTAATAAATCACTGATTGGACAGAATTCCATCACACAATCTCCAGCTGCACTTTTGCCACCAAGGCCAATGTTTCTATCAGTCAGTCCTTTGTTTGCAACTTCTGTGTTCTGGTGACCAATTATTATCAATGCATCTTGACTGCACATTCAATCAATTTCAGGCTACAAAAGTATTAGAAATCCTCAATTTC